CATCAATTTTCAACAAATGTCGCACAAAAAGTATTTGTTGACTATTTTAATTCTGCTTGTTTTTTTAGGGGATCTTATTTAATCGATCTGATAAACTAAATAAAAACAGGGATTTTGCCTATTAAGCAATTTCATAAAGAGGTTAAGCGGAGCAGTGTCACACAGTTTAATGACAAGAAAATTTTTCCAACGTTTTTTTTTTTTTTAATGCTCCCAAAAATAGATTTGAATGTTCTTATTTTATTCATATTTGCATGAAAGTTCTCATGATTTTTGTAAAAACCAATAATTTCAATTATTGTCCGAATTCAATTTAACATAATCGTAACGGTAAATCATTTCAACTTTTCAAACTTAAACCTGTTATTGGTATAAAAGGCAAAATCTTCAAAATAGAATATTAGTGGATTTAAATGCACATAATAGATGCAATAGATGCGCCTTCTAATGTTCGGCATATTTCTCGCATAATTGGGCTTAGACATTTTATATATTTTATTTATATTTTCAATGAATTGTATCACTATTTGTGCAATAATCAATTTTGTAAGCTATTTACCAGGAAATTAAAGTCAATAAAAATTCAGAATTCTTCTTTGCTGGCTGACGATATGTCATGTTATGCTATGTATAAGGTTTTTAATGTATGACAAGAAGACTAATTAGAACCAATGTGTCGCTTTTGTTTTTATTAATCAATGAATTCTCAAGGAGTTAATATTGAGATGAAGGATGAGTCGTATGCAAGGACAAAAAAAATATGCTAATATGCGTACAATACATAGCATTGAACCATTTACTCAATTTGAATTTGTTTACAAATTTTAATAAAAGTAATTTGGTTTCAATGGTTCTTTTTAATCACAAGTATCGATGTCTCCTTAAAAAGGCAAAAAAATTTCGGACACACGAAATTTACTTGCATCTATAATGTAGTACCTTGTCTTATCAAATAAAGAATTTTAACATTTTAGAGAATATAGAATATATGTTTTTTACTTACCCAAACCATCAAATCGGATTCGAGATGTAACTTTGAAAAAATTAATGCATCTTATTAACATTGTCAGTAAATTCACTTAAAGATTATATTTGATACATAAGGATGAAGAAAGTTATAAATAACCTGGAATTTCTCCTCGTTAATTTTCGGCTTCATTAATTCCTCAATTCCTTTAATTAATATTTCCTTCATTCCTTCCTCCCTCCCTCCCTCCTTCCTTAATTAAATCACTAATTATCTCTATCCCCCCCCCCCCTCTCTCTCTACATTTCCATTTACCTACTTTCATATAATCATCGTTTTTTCACTTCAATTTTAAATCTTTCAAAGGATCATCAAAATGAGGTCCTTAACGTTACTCCTGATCGTCATTAATACAATGATGATTTTCATCATTTGTTCGGTCGAATCTAGTAAAGCTTCTGATCTTTTAAAACGAAAGAGTTATGAAGCTAGTTCAAGTTCAGAACATTCTTCTCATTCATCATCAAGTGAAAGCGATTCATCTAGTTCAAAATTCTCAGAACATAATGGAAAAATCGAAAAATCAGGTACTTCATCACACAAAGCTGCATCCGAAAGTGATTCGCATGATTCAAAAAAAGAATCCGTCAAATCCAAAGGTAAAAATGGAGAATTCTCAGCAAGTGCTAGTTCATCACACGATTCAAAGAGTCAAAAATCTGAATCAGACAAATCCAGTTTCCACGAAAAAAGTGGTAATGGAAAATTTGAAGCAGATGGTAGTCATTCACACAAGGAACAAGATTCAAATAGTGAAAAATCCAGTAAAGGTTTTGAAGTAAAATACAACGGTAAAGATGGAAGTTTCTCAGAAGGCGCACATTCTTCATCCAAATCAGAAAATAAACACAGTGAAGATGACAAATCCAGATATCACGTTCAAGGTGGTCATGGAAAATTTGAAGCAGATGGAAGTTCCAAACACAGTGAACATGACTCTCACAGTGAAAAAGACGGCAAATCTTTCCATGTCAGCTCCAAAGGTCACGGTAAATTTATTGAAGCAGATGGAAGTTCCAAACACAGTGAACATGACTCACACAGTGAAAAAGACGGCAAATCTTTCCATGTCAGCTCCAAAGGTCATGGTGGAAGTTTTGAAGCAGATGGAAGTTCCAGACACAGTGAACATGACTCACACAGTGAAGAAGGATCAAGCCGTTTTCACTTTCAATCCGGAAAAGGACACTCTGAAGGACATGAACACTCTGAAGGACATGAACACTCTGAAGGACATGAACACTCTGAAGGACATGAACACTTTGAAGGACATGGACACTCTGAAGGACATGAACACTTTGAAGGACATGGACACTCTGAAGGACATGGACATGATGGACACTCCGTACATATTCATGGACACTCTGAAGGACATGGTCATGGTCATAAGCACTCTGATGGACACTCCGTACATATTCATGGACACTCTGAAGGACATGGACATGGTCATAAGCACTCTGATGGACACTCCGTACATATTCATGGACACTCTGAAGGACATGGTCATGGACACTCTGAAGGACATGGACATAAACACTCCGTACATATTCATGGACACTCTGAAGGACATGGACATGGACATGGACACTCTGATGGACACTCCGTACATATTCATGGACACTCTGAAGGACATGGACATGGACATGGACACTCTGAAGGACATGGACATGGACATGGACACTCCGTACATATTCATGGACACTCTGAAGGACATCATGTTCACAAAGGTGGTAAATCTGGAAAAGGACATTTTGAAGAACACGGATGGGAAGAAAAGGGATTTAAAAAACACGTAGAAATCGATGGCAAAGTAGTTGAATCAAAACACGGCTCAGAAAAACACGGATGGAAAAAACATGGTGATGGAGTCCATTGGTGGGGAAAACATGGATCCAGAAAACACAGTAAATTAATTAAATTCCGAAGTGCTGAATGGTTTGAATTCTGGTGGAATAAATATTGTAATCAAAACGTAACTTGGTGGAATGATTTCTATACCAAATACGCATGCGATGGTGATGATGGCAAAGATTTAGACGGCCAATACAAACATACTAAATTATGGTGGAAAAGCTGGTGGGAAAAATTCGGATGGAAAAAACAGATTTCTAAAGAAGATTGCGACGATACCGGTTTTGTTTATAAAAAATCACATAAATCTCATGGATCCTCTTTCGTAAAATTCTCCTCTGATGGAAAATCATTCTCATTCACTGAAAAGTCATATTCTGATGATAAATGGTTTGAAACATGGTGGTCAGAATGTGAATCAAAGGGATCTGAATGGTGGGATAAATTCTACACAAAATATGCATCTTCCAATGAGGATGGTCAAAATTTAGAATCTCAAACCAAACATTCAAAAGATTGGTGGTGTAACTGGTGGAAAAATTTCGGTTTTAAAAAGACATACGATACTGAAGATTGTGAAGATTTTGATATCTATTTTAAAGAAGGTGATGATTTTGAGGAATTTCATAAATCCAAATTTTTTGGATCTAAATCTCATGGATTTGAATCTGAATCTCATGAATCTGAATCTCATAAATCTGAATATCATGAATCTGAATATCATGAATCTTATGAATCTGAATTTCAAAGTGAATCATTTTTTGATTCTTGGTGGAATGAATGTGAAAATAAAGACTCTGTATGGTGGGATAGCTTCTACAGCAAATATGCATCCAGCAATGATGATGGCAAAGATTTAGACTCCAAAACACGCCATACTAAAGATTGGTGGTGTACCTGGTGGAAAACTTTCGGTTATAAAGCACAATTCAGCAGTGAAGAATGTGATGAATTTAAATCTTTTATTAAAAAATCTGAACCCAAAAAAACCGATGAACCCAAAAAACCCGATGAACCCAAAAAATCCGATCCCAAAAAACCTGATGAACCCAAAAAATCCGATCCCAAAAAACCTGTTGAACCCAAAAAATCCGATCCCAAAAAACCTGTTGAACCCAAAAAATCCGATCCCAAAAAACCACACACCAAACGTGAAGAAGATTGTGATGAAGATGATAAGGAAATACATGGAGCTTTTAAGAAAACAAAAGGTTTTAAACAGGTTGGTGTTAAACATGTTGAAGGTTTTGAACATGATGAAGGTTATGAATCTAGAAGAACTTCTGAATTTTTCAATAAGTGGTGGAGTAAACATGAAAATGAAAGTTCTTCATTTTGGGAAAAGTTCTGGACTGAATGTGTATCTGAAGATGAAGATGGTAAAGATTTAAACGAAAAAACTCACCATAGTAAAGCATGGTGGGAAAAATGGTGGAAAACTACCGGTTATCAGCGAAATATCCCTGAGGAATATTGTTAGAACCAGTTCATAATTGAACAAAGATATTTCATTAACATTGATCAAAAGTAAATTACTACCGATACTTTCATTGATATTATAAATAATCTGAACACATATAGAAAATATTAATTATTTAGAGGTTTCCATGTTAAAATATGTTTAGCTCTTTATATTTATACAAATTCCTCGTACATTTATTTTAATCATTTGCGCTTTAGAAAGATTACCATAGAGTTATATGTATAGTATCGCGATTTATTTTTGGGGCTTAATGTAATTTTATAAATTATCATTTAATAAAAGTTTTAATGTGAGGATTAAATTTTTATCCAACTAAACTCAAAGAATTATATTATTTGGTTTTACATGTATAATGCGAATTGAATTAAAAAATTGTCTTAATGAACATTAGTTCAATTTTCTAAGTCTTGGATGCACTGTTCAAATCGCCTTACGTTAATGAAATATAAAGTATTAAAGATAATTTATTTTGAAACTAATCCTCTGGTCACTATACTAAGATTATAAGAGTTTTAATCTCAAAAGTTATTGAGATTTAAAAATTTTAATGTTTATTATATATAAATTGGGTTTAAAATACTTCAACTCGTAGAAACAAAATCTGACTGGTAACTTTGTTCTAAATAATAAAGTTTTGGACAGAATTTTAAAATTTTGTTTCTACGATGAGTTGAAGTATTTTAAATTCAAATACTATATAATTTTAACTCTTACGCAGATGAGATTTTAAAAAGATAGTTAGCAAGTACAGTATATAGAGTTCATATGTCTCAACAAAGTTACCAAATATTTTTTTTTTAAACCTTTTGTAAAAAGTTATAGCGATTTGAAAAATTGAT